TACACAAATGCATTCAAGTTCACCTGAGCAAGGTGGCACTTAAACAAGAGCATGGGTGGCAGGCAGGTGTCATCTTGATCAGGCGAGCACGGGAGGCCACAGTCATGGCTGGGGCAGCATCGCCACGTGGTGGGATGGTGTGTAGCCGTGTGAGGAACTGAAACCGATGAGGGTAGTGCGAAGGTGGGAAGGTGAGGATGGATGCCTTAGTACCAAGAGAGGCACGGGGTCTGGGGGCCACGGGGACAAATTCAGACTCTACTGTGAAAATGCACCAGCAGGCATGTTGGGTGTGCTGCTGAGAGTCTCTGCCATGGTTAGGTCATCTGTCGCCTCACTGGCTTCTCTGTCAGTTGGCTTGAGAAAGATTCTAGAAGCTTCCGCTCTGACTGTGGAATGTTTGTTTCTGAATTTCATTGTCACTTCCCTCCATATTTGTGAGCTCTGTGGTCAGGCTCACACACACCTGTTACTGTGATGTCTGTGTGACACGCCCCCTGTGCCATTGGCTCCGTTCTCTGTCCTGAGTGGGTTCCTTGGCTGACAGTCATGGCCACATATCCTGCTTGCTGTTTCCAGGAGATAGCTTTCCATCTCTGTGTCTTTGAACTGCTTCTTTTAGACACCTGTGATAGAGTCCTGGGTGTTTTTACCCCTTTCCAAGGATTTCTACTTTCTAGTAAAATCATCTTAGACACCACCTTTGCTTTCTATAGGATTTGCTGAAATTCTTCAGCCTGTGCCTTCATATTTTTAACCAAATCTGAGAACATTGAAATGATAATTTCTTAAAGCACTTCCCCCTCCTCCCGTCTTCCAGGGACCTAGTCCTGTCTATGTGATTGTTGGATATTGTCCTCTGTGTGCCCAAGGCCATGTGGAGTTTATCCTTTCAGTAGCTTTTCTTTCTGTCCTACAGATTGGATAATTTCTTTGGGTCTGTATACAAACTTGCTGAACTTTCCCCTGCTAGTTCACCGAACGATTTAGTTCAGATACCATATTTACACTTCTGAAATTTCCAGTTGATTCTTTTGATAGTTACTGTAGAGTCTTTTCTGTTGCTGTAATAAAACACCTTGACAACAAGCAACTTAAGGAGGAAAGGATTTTTCCTGCTTAAAATTACGGCTTCCAGTCCATCACTGAAGGGAGTCAAGGCAGGAGCCTGAGGTAGCTGGTCATAGAAATCCACAGTTCAGAGCAGAGAGCAGCAGGTGTGTGTACCCGTGCTGCCTGCTTGAGCTCGGCTTTCTTCTGTCTTATACAGTGCAGGCTCTCTTCTTAGGGAATGGTGCCACCCACAATGGGCTGGGTTTTCCTACATCGATTAACTGTCAAGACAACCCCCCGCAGACATATCCACAGGCCAGCCTGATCTAGATGATTCCTCCTCATTCCTCCGTCCCCAGCTAATTCTAGGTTCTGTCAAGGTGACAGTCAAATCCACCCAGCATAGTTGTGTTCTGTACCCATCTTTCCCTTCATTGTACAGATGCCTTTCTGTTATATCCAATTAGAATCCTGGATTTAAAGTCCTTGTCTGGTAATTCCAGCATGTGGGTCTTGTTGGATTGGATCTCATTGATGGTCTGGATTTTTACGTGTGCCTCCATTTTCCTCATCAACATAATAACTTGAGCCTGTATCTCAAACAAGCTGATTAACATGTTATGGATGCTGTAAACTCTCCCTAAGGGTATGGACAGTTTTGTTTCTACAGATGCTGAATCTAGCTCCCCAGACTGGAGGCTCCGCTTCCTCTGCAGTGTGTGGCTGAACCTTGTTCAGCTCCTCAGCCTTTCTGGGCCAACGGGATTAGTCATGCCATCCGGGAACCACCAGAGAGTTTGACACCATGCCTCTCTTCCTTTCGTGGCTCTTCATCTCCAAAATCGCCTTCTCTATGGCTTCCGTTTGGTGCTCCGTTTCCATTATCTGTGTCCTTTAGGCCATACTCCACTGCCTTCTTCATTGAGTTTTTCTCATGCTGGTGTTGACAGTCACCATCTCAGGAGGACTGTGCTGCTCTGAGCTAGTTGTCTGGGTTTGTGATGGATTTTGAGTCAGGCACACACATGATGTGTTGGCAGGCTAGCTGTGAGGGTGCAGCCATGTGGCCTAAAGAGTGCAGACAACAGCGACCTTCACTTTTGACTTAAGCAGGGAAGATGAGTAAACTCAGTTTTATGATAAAGAATTCGGGAAGGACACGGCAGATTGTGACATGGATTGTGGAAACCACAAGCTCCCTTAGGTGATCTCAGTTTGAGATGTTTCCCAGATTTTCAGTGTGTAATGTTAAATGTGAGGGTGAATGTTTGGAATATGGAACTCACAGGGAACACTGAGCCTGAGGAGTTGGGATTTTAGTTATCAAATACAGCTAGTGTCTGTGGACAGAGCAACTGTCCCTGAGGGCAGTGTGGCTAGTGGAAAAATGACTCCCCAGAATGTTCCACATGACATCAGTGTTCTGAAGCTTAACTGAGGGGGAAAGCCACAAAAGGAGATTGAGGGGAGCGGAGGCAAAGCCGGGATGCAGAACCCAGGACTGATTGGGTCCCCGAGACACAGCCATGGACTGGGCAGGGGTATGCTCAGTCGTGTGTGTGCCCAAGCAGAGAGTGGCTGTGTGGTGGGTGCCTGCCATCACTGCTGCTGCTGCTTCTGTCCTGCGGCATGGAGGCTTGTCACCTCAATTGTGGACCCACCTACTTAGGTACCTGGTCAGCCCTCCTGATGTAATCAGAGGTGACACCACTAAGGATTCTCTAAGGTTTCCTATGGCCAGCTGACTGATGGCCATTGGTGTGTTCTGTGATCTGTGGTCTGTCTGCTGGTAGGGATGAGCTGTGAATTGTAGTGGCCTGTCCCATGCTCCCTCTACCCTGTCTGCTGTTCACATTGAGTTCATAAGGCTTGGGGCTCCCCACACAGACAGTACTGTGCCTTGGAACCTCATTTGCCCACAAAGCCAGAATCATTTGTGTAGTTGGAGTTTGACAGCTCAAAGAAACTTACAGAGAACGAGCCTTACCAGGTGTCACTTTGCCTTATGGGTCCTCTGGACTCGCATCTCACCATGGTTTGGATAACAGTTCTAGAAGAGTCTATTGTTGCTGAGGCTGTTCATATGTCAAACTCGGACCCCTGGCAGGGTGGCATCTCTCCTCTCTGACTGGGTGGCATCTCTCTTAGCATCCAGTTCTTCTGGCATTAACTCTTGAACCTTCCAAGACTAAATACAACCAGAGGGATCAACTAAACCCCAATCCTTTCATTTCCTTTCTGAGGGTGTCAGGCCTGTCTTTGGCCACCTGCAGTTGGCATCTTTGCAGGCAATGTGGAGACCAGTTCTCAGAAGCTGAGGTAGGATGCTGGGACCTTGACCAGGCCATGCCAGCACTGCTGGGTTGGTGTTGAGCTGAGATACTCTTATCTTCTAGAGTGGGTCCCAGCATCACAGAGGCTCTGTTGTCTGCTCTGAAAAGACTCCATCCCATCAAGCATGCCCAGTAGTCATCTTGTCACACTGCAGATCAGATTCCTGTAACTTCTCAGTATGTGAGCCTGCTAGCTCTTACAGGACCTCAGTGGCCACATCCTTCTCTCCCTCACTCTGGAACTGTGCCGTTATCTTGATCAGGAATCTTTGTATCATTGACTGGTTTCGATTCTAACATGTGAAACCCGGTCTGTAACGGAAAGGCTGCTCCTGGGAGTGGACCCTTGTTTCTGCCTTCCCAGGGTAGAGTTCTCTGGGGTGTGGAGCGAGGTGGTGTAGCCAGAGGTGACTGCTGGATGAAACTGGTCACACAGAGCTGTGTGTTACATGGAGGATGTGCTTCTCTTGCTGCTTTCTTCTTTTATGTGTCATTTCTGTCTTCAGTCTTGTGTCTTTCATATTCAAATATACCTATAAATAAATGGGAATGGTTTTCTGATCCAGGACCTCTTGTGATCAGATTAGGGCAATTGGGGCCAACTCCACATAGGACAGGTGTTTAAAAAACACGTTTTATGCCGGGTGTGGTGGTGCATGCCTTTAATCCCAGCACTTGGGAGGTAGAAGCGGGTGAATCTTTGTGAGATTGAGGCCAGCCTGGTCTACATAGTGAGTTCCAGGCCAGCTGGGGCTGGAGGGAGACCCTGTCTCAAAAAGATAAAAACAACCCCCCCCATTTTATTATTTACTCCACCTGAAAGCCACCTGGGTTGCCTTTCCCAACATAGTACTTGAAATATAGAATATTCTTGTCTGTCTGTCCCTCCCTCCCTCCCTCCTTCCCTTCCTTTCTCTGTCTCTCTCTCTCTCTCTCTCTCTCCTTCTTTCTTTCGATTGTCTTACTATGTAGCCCAGACTAGTCTTGAATTGGTGCTCTGCCTGCCTCTGCCTCCTGAGTGCTAGGCTTGACAGGAGTACACCCCGACACTTGACCTGAATACAGTGTGTCAAGTAACTTCCCGTTGGTACTTTCATAGTGCTGGACAACCAAGACTTTCATCCAGGAGTCGATTCCACCTCCAAGTGTTTATTTTCTTCAGCTGATTTCTAGGAATCCTGACAGTATTTCCCTCCCCCCCTTTAGATGTGGAACAGTGTAGGTGAGTGTGACCAAGCCCCATCTTGGAGCTGAACTCTAGCCAGATTGAAATGACTTGTGCTGTGGAGAAGGGGCTGGCGGGGCAGATGGTCCCTGGCTTCTGTGTTGTGGGGTCAGTGTAGCCATGGAAGAGTCTTTGTTTCCTAATATGTGTTTCCACATTTAAATACCCAGGTTCACCACAGAGGAAAACCCATTTGTATTTGTAGCTGGGTTTAAATTGTTGCAACTGCATTAGCCGCTCATGGGAAGCAATCATTTCTGGGGGAATTGCTAGCTCAATAATTTGCTCTGTCTCATCGGGAAGGGTCCTGCCTGGGTCAGCAATGGCTCTAAATAAAGCAGGTTTCCAGGAAGTTGCAAGCTAACTTTGAGAACTCTCTGATAACCTAGATAAAAGAGTATGAGAAACTGGACAACGAGGAAGACCGCCTGCTGCGGAGCCGGCAGATGTACGACGCCTACATCATGAAGGAGCTGCTGTCCTGCTCACATGTGAGCGCCCCGTCCTGTTCCCTTGGCCTTGAGGTGCCCAGAGACACTGCCAGTGTTTCCAGAATGAAGCACAGTTGTCTGATGGCAATCAGTGATTTAAGCGTGTGTACCCAGGATGGGACCTGGGCGTTGGGTTCCGCCATGCATGTGGCTCTCTGACCCAGTGTCTCCTGTATCTTCTTTGCTTGGTGCATATTCAGAAACTAGTACTTGCACTGCAAGAAACTTATGGATAAGAGGGCTAATTTATCACAATCAAAGAAAATTCGGCTTTATCATCATATATTATTCTTATCATTATTATTATTTGAGATTTGTAGCTCAGGCTAGACTTGAACTCTTATTTTCAATATTTATTTTTTTTTTTAAAAATGTGTATGTCTGTATGTGAGTATGAGCACATGAGTACAGTGCCCATGGATGCCAGAAGACGGTGTCAGATCCCCTGGAGCTGGAGTTACAGGAGGTTCTGAGCTGCTTGACATGGGTGTTGGCTATTGAACTTGGGTCCTTTGCAAGAGCAGTTATGTACTCTTAACCACTGAACTGTCTCTCCAGCCACTGGACTTGAACTCTTGATCCTTCTACTTCAGTCTTTTAAGTGCTAAAACTAAGAACATGTACTGCCACACCCAACTTACTAGTATTATTAGAGTTTCTATATTATTTTGAGAACTGGAATGGAGCCCAGGGTCTTGCTAAAGACAAGTGCTCTGCTACTGAGCTACATTCTCAGCCCTAATCTTGCTATTTTTAATTTAGCTATAGTTTAACAATTAGGTGAGTCAGAATTTGATAAGTGTAAATTGTCAATGATTTCTTAGGATTAATGAAGGTTATAATTAGCATGTTAAGTAATGTTTGAAATTACTGTCTCCCTCCTATATCAGTTAAAAGTCTAATTCGGCCATTAGGATAAACTAGGTTCTCAGGAAACTACCTCACCAAGAGTGAGTGGAATAATTGGCAAAGTAGGAATTCCCACTTGAAGGTCTTTTTACCCAGATGAAGACTGCTTTGCAAAGGAATTCAGTCTTGATCTGCTCTTCGCAGGACAGTGGCGCTGCCCTGTGTGGCTATTTAAGTTAATTAAAGTCAGGCGGAGTTATAAATTTCATTCTTGGACATCTGATGAGATTATATCTCAAGTACCCCAAACCCTGTGTGACCAGAGGCTCCCGTGTGGAACAGCATAGGTGTGCAGTACTGTACCATGGCAGGAAGGATAATTGGATGGCCCTATATTGCCTTAGCACTTAGGAAGCAGTCTCAGTTCTTACCGAAGTGTAAGTGACTTCATAATTCTTGGGGTCCACATGCCATGTAGAGGGGATCTGAGCTGTACCCTGCTGCTTTCCTGGCATGGCCAAGCCCTGGAAGACATACATGCTTCATGGAGCCCGTGTGAACTTGGCTTTCATTAGCTCAACAATAAGTGGGATTTGAGCAGCATGATCCGGCTTTGCTTAGCTGTTTCTTACTGTGCACGTTAAATAAGACAGTATTTGAAGCTTCATGAAGATGTAGCTTGTCACTCCCATCAGTGGAAGCCCTGTTCTGTTTACCCCATTTGCCTTCTGCTGGGGCTTCAATGAGACCTCCCAAAGCTAGAGCAAGGGTCGCTGTGGCTGGTTAATGCTGGTGTTGAGTTCCTAGGTGTGCTGTCCTACATCTGTTTTCTCTGAAGTAGCAGACACCTTGTCGAACTGTTACAAGGAAAGAAGAGATATGTGTAGCCAGGCAAAGGCAGGGTTCCATAGGTGCCTTGACTGCTGAGGTTTGGAGCCTGGACATTATGTCAGAGGGTCATACATGTGCTTGGACTATCTACAGAGAAGCCTGCAGGTTCTAAAGAGCGCTTCTAATCCAGTCACCATGGGTGACCCTTTCATGATTGTGTCAGCTATGATGTGTCAGCTATGATGTTTGTGATGCAGCTAAGTCACCTTATTAAAAAAACGCTGTCTTTGATTTTTTTGAAAGCCATTCTCGAAGCAAGCTGTAGAATATGTACAGAGTCATCTATCAAAGAAACAAGTAACAGCAACTCTTTTTCAGGTAAGATAAAACCAATTCAAATAAATCTATCTGATTTGTCTCCCCGTCAGACCTGGTAGCATTTTCTTAGCTTGTCAAGTGTAGAGGCGGAATTGATTTGTAAGACGGTATGCTCAGCTGGAACGACAGAGCTCGGGCTCGCCTGTCTTCTTGCTTAAAAGCACTCCACTGCCGACAGGCTTCGCAGACTTTCCTGAAAAGGGGCCCAGAGCTTTCTCATAACCTTATGTTCTAGAAATCCATCAAGATAAGACATCGGAGCAGACAGCCCTCAGCCATGTGACGTTTCCGTGCCTGCGATGCGCAGGGATTTACAAGGTTTACTTTGTGTGCTGTGACTTGCAGTGATTATCCTCCGGATTAAATAAGACTTATTTTCAAGAGTCAAAAGTGAATGCTCAAAGGCCCTTAGAGGTGTCATGTTGACTGCCTCTATCTTGAACAGCACCACCAGATAAATTTAGATGACAGGGCTTGGAAGGCTGGCTTCTCGACTGACAGGCCTGTCTATGTATTTGTTGTTGTTTAGACAGAACACCTCTCCTCTCTCCTTACTCTTCCTCCTCCTCTTCCTCCTCTTCCTCCAGACCTTTTCCATCCAGGGTTTTCCATATAGATGATAATGCTTCATACCAACAGATTCTCAAGTGGGTAGTGGGCCTTTTATGTTTCTGTGAATTATGAGAAATGGAGGAGTTCCATTAATTAATTTTAGTAACTGAAAAAAATTAACGTATCCTTCTGTTGGATTATCCAGTTATTTACAGTGAGATAAGCTATTTTGCTGCTGCTGTTTTTTGAGACAGGGTCTCACAAAGTCCAGGATGGTCTCTCTTTTGTTTGTTTGTTTGTTTTTGAGACATGGTCTCCCTGAAGCTCTAGCTGGCCTGGAACTCACTATGTAGACCAGGCTGGCCTCAGTCTCATAGAGATCTGTTTACGCCTGCCTCTGCCTCACTAGCGCTGAGATTAAAGCACCATGCTGGCCCTAGACTGGTCTTCTGGTCCCCCTGTCTCCACCTCCTTTGGACTGGGATCATAGTGTGTGCCACTAGACCCTACTGGTCTTGTACTTGATACCTTATGACAGTATGAATTTGTGCAAAGTGAAGTCAATTAGCCTATAGAGAGAGCATTTGTACAGAAACAAGTTGGGTGTTCCCTTCCATCACCATGATTTCTCATGACACATAGGACCTGTCTGCACAGCCTAGAATGTTCCAGAAGTGAATGGCAGAGCCTGTGCCCCTGGCTTGACTACTCAACTTTGATAAGAAAGTAAAAGGAAAAAAAAAAAAAAAAGAAAGAAAGTAAAAGGAGCTAAATTAATAGTAAAAAATGGAAAAGGGACATTTGGGAAGAGACCCAGCGACTCTCAAGCCCATCTTCAAGGTCAAATATGAGGGCAGCATTTAAGAGTTACACGTAGCTGAGCAGCCCCTGTGGAGGTATGCCCCCGCCCCCAGACAGCCCATCGTTGTTGTTATCTGGCCTTCAGTCTTAACCCTGAATGTGGTTTGTTAGAACCCTGTGAAATCTCTTTCTGGGTGACAAGTTCATCCTCTAGCTGACAGTCTTGCCCTTCTCCCAGCATGACACTCCTGGGGAAAATTCCAGTTCCCTGGAATTTGTTTCACAGTCTGATGGTGGAAGGGAGGGACACAAGTGTCTCTTTAGACTGTCTTCATTTCTGCCAGGCCAGTTACAAGGGGAGTCCATTCTTGAGCTCTGCCTCCTTCCCTGTTACTTCCTAATTCGTTTGCATACCCGTGAATGTGGGGGATAGGGATAGACTCTCTCTCTGAAAGGGGGTCTTGAAGATTCATGGGTCTGCTTCTCTCATCCCTGCACAAATGTTAGCTCTGATTAGATCTTTTACAGTCAAGCAGTGCAGTGCCCACGTCTGCTTTCTGCTGTCTCCATGACATTTTGAATGTGAGAACCTCAGTTTGCAACTGACTTTCCACAGATAGTTCCAAGCCCATCAGAGATGACATTGTTGAACTGTGTTGTTTACTGCACGGTGTGCAGATAGTCCCCGGCCAATCACTGTTGAACTCTACTGTAGACTGCTTGGTGTGTTGCTTGGTTTTCCATTACTGTAATGAATATAATATTAAGTAAGAGTTATTTTTAGGAACAGATAGTGAATACTTTCAGGACCTGAGCCCTTAAGGAAAAAAAAAAAAAAAGGAGGTTTATTTAACTTTTATCCAGTTGGGACACTGAAAGTCTAAGCTCAGGAGGCCGCAAGAGTGCAGCCTCCTGGGAGGGCCCTGGACTGAGTGCTTTAGCAGTCAGAGAGCAGATGACATGGTCTCATGAGAGCTAACCAGAGTCTGGGAGAATCTGCCTCAGTGACCCATCCACCTCCTGCCCCTTGAAGGTCCCACCAGCTGAGCATCACCATGGTAGGGGATCAGGCTTCCAATAGTGAATAGGAGAGGGGTGGGGAGGAGGGCAGGCACACCCACATCACAGCCAACCCTTGGCACCTGCTTTTATATTGAGATTTTTTAGCTTTGCATCAAGGACAGAAACAAGATTGCTTCTGGCGATTTGACCACCATGGTTACTGTGCCTCCCTCAGGGAGCGCACTTCTACAAGCTGTTTCTCTGTATCTTGTAAAAAACACTTTATTCTTTTGTTTTGATCATTTTAAAAATGAATGAAAATTGCATTCTGGCGAAGCTGACGCAGACAGGTGTTTTCCTTATCTCAGTTGTGAAGGGTTGATGGGTTCCTTGACTAGGAGCCTGTTAGTGTTGGTCCATAGAACCCCCACCCTCCCAGGCAAGGAATCCTCTGTTTGCACATCCTGTAGACAGAGGGACTTTAACCAGTGAAGTCGACTAGTTGAAGTTTATAGTGAAAGAAAACTGTATTGATGGGCTGGAGAGATGGTTCACTGGTTAAGAGCACTGACTGCTCTTACAAAGGGCAAGTACCCACATAGCGGCCAGTAACTGTCTGTAACTCCAGTTCCAGGGGATCTGTTGCCCTCTTCTGGCCTCCATGGGCATTGCATGACATGAGGGCACCTACATGCATGCAGGCAATGTACTCATACACATAAGATAAAAATTAAAGAAAAAAGCACTGAGGGACATCTGGGGACACTATCTTTACATAATAGGCCTTAACACGAATGAGAGAGTGTATGAACTCCAGTTGGGAGGCTATGGGAGGGTGCCAAAGGGGAAGGGGGTATAAAGATGATTTTATGTATGAAATATACAAAAATTCAATATTTTTTAATTAAAAAAACTTCATTGAGAAAAAACATGCAACATGATTATATTAAATTCCAAAATCAGCTTTAGACATAAATAATTGTGTAGATGCATTTGGCTGTGGGGTGCAGGGCCTGGGTAGCTATGGGGTGTGAGGCCTTGCTGGTGATGGGGTGAGGGGCCTGGCTGGCTGTGGGGTGAGGGGTCTGACTGGTAATAGGGTGAGGGGCCTGGGTGACTGTGGAGTAAGGGGCCTGGCTGGTGATAGGGTGAGGGGCCTGGCAGGCTGTGGGGTGAGGGACCTGGCAGGTGTTTAGTGGCTAAAAGGTACCTGGCCCTGTGCTCCGCTGGCCACATTCTTAAATTTTATTCATTTGATTGTTATAATCACCTCTCAAATTAGATGTGACTGTCCCCCTTTATGAAGGGAATGAAGACCCAAGAAGGGGCTCACTCCCACTACTGAGCTCTCACTTCCCTGGTGTGTGTTGGGTCTTGTTCTGACCACATTCCTCCCCAAAGCAACTGATGGAAGGAAGCGTGTATTCCGGCTCACAGTCTGAGGGTGCAGTCCATCATGGAGGGGAAGGCATGGTGGCAGGAGTGTGAGTCGGCTGGTCACATGACATCCATAGTCAGGAAGCAGAGAGAGGTGAACGCTGGTGCTCAGCTCATCTCCTTTCTATTTAGTTAGGGACCCTAGCCCCTGGGATGGTCCTGTATACCTTTAGGGTGGGTCTACATCAGTTAGCCTAATCTAGAAACCCCCTCACAGATAAGCCTGGAGCTGTGTCTCCATCGTGATTCTAGATCCTGTCAAAGTGACAGTATCAACCATCACAGGTTCTGTATGTTAAACTGTGACGAGATGACAGTTAAGAATTCCTAAAGACCGTCAGCTGTTACTTGATTAACACAAAGAATGGAATGTTTGCTAAAATAGGAAAGAAAAATGTGTATGAGCACAGCTGTTCCCTAAGTGGAAAGTCTGGCATGTGGACGGGTCTCCTTGCAGCTCTTGGGGGACCTCAGCTGCTGTGTGTTTTGATGTCTGTTGACTTTCTTAGGATGTGTATAGGCCTTGACTAAGAAAGCTATGACTGTGGAATCACAGAGTTCTAGGGTCAGGAAGAGCGAGAGTGAGTGGGGAGACAGCTTTACCAAGGATGGAAGAGTTGGTGTAGGTTAAGATCAGTCTCATAGCCATCTCAGGCAGCCATAGCCCTGTGAGGAGCTGGGTGAGTCCCCCACGCCTGCATTGTCTGCTCACATGACAGCATGGCTTCCTCAGACTTCCCTTGCTGCTTGCTCTGCTCCTTCTGGTAAACTTTTAGATGACCTTGAAGACACAAAAAAGGTTATATTTCTCATCATTCAACACATCAGAGGTATCAGGCTATTTTCCAAGAGATTCGATTGACTCGGGTGAATGCTTCAGCCTGGCCATTTGTGACCTTACTGTTCTCAACTGCAAGTTCATCACATGGGACAGGAAAGCATGGCTATTTATTCCACACTGTGTGAAGCAGAGGACTAGTGTAGAAAGCAGTCGTTCCCCATGTGAAGAAAGTGAACCCAGAACCCTCAGCTCCTTCCCAGTGAACTTACTCAGAGACCTGGGCTGCACTTGCCCCATCCCCCAGCTTCCTTCCCCTCAAGAGGAGTGAATTGAACTCTAAAAACTATAACACAAATCAGTAAAATAGCTAATTAGATCAACTAGGGACCTATTAGCTTTGAGTCTTTAAATCTCAATCCAGATAAAAAAGGATCTTAGCCATTTATAAGGCATGTTAGGTTAACTCAGAGGAGGTCCCAGCACCAAATGAAAACTGTGGGTCCCTATTTCAGAAATTAATAAGAATTTCAGGATGGTGACAGAGGGTCACATAACTAAGTGTTGGGGTCTTCTAAGTGGTTCACAGAGCCAACCCTGCCTAGTCATTTAGGAAGTGCCCTTAGCTCACCAAGAGCTGTCTCTGGCTATGTGGATACCATGGGGGAGCTGGCCATGAGATAACAACCCTGGGACAGAGGCTTAGTGAGAGGTACAAGTTTAGGAACAGAACACACGTGGTTAGTGTCTTCATAGGCCTGGGTCTCACTGGTTCGTGTTTTTTTCATTGATACAGTCATATTTACATGGTGTCCACTTCCTGGGTCTCACTGGTTCATGTTTTTTGCTTTGATACAATCATATTTATATGGTATCCACTTCCTGGGTCTCACTGGTTTGTGTTTTTTGCTTTGATACAGTCATATTTACATGGTGTCCACTTCTTCATCTTTTCTAGCCATACATAGAAGAAATCTGTGAAAGTCTTCGAGGAGATGTTTTTCAAAAATTTATGGAAAGGTATCGAGCTTTATGCATATGTAGAAGGTATTGCTCTGCAGTGTGCCCTGTCCTTCAAATGTATGCTAATTTATTCATTCAACAGGTACTTACCAACCATGACCATGGCCAGGCTCTGTCAGACTGTTTCCTTGACGCTTTCTATCACAACTTTGGGGTTTGTATAGCTTGATGTGCCCCTCGATCCCCAGCTCTCTGCCTTCATCATGGCCTAAAACTGAAATAGTCTGAGGAACCCCATTTAAAAAGTGTGGAAATGGGGAGGCCTTTTCTAATGCAGCCATGGCTGTGTTTTATCTGATTCTCTGGCTAGGATTTTGAGATATGTCTCCCAGAGCAGGGCAAGCCTGAGTTTGGTTCTCTGTGTGGTGATGGGGTTTCTGGGAAAGGCTAAAATCTGTCCCTGATGTCCCGGTGCTATAGAGCGCATGTGTCACCTGATACCCCATAGAACTGTCAGCTGTCAGTGCTCTGAGCACACCCTTCAGAGGACACAGAATCTGAACCAGACTCCAAACCTGGGTCTGTGTTCCACTGTGTCTCTCCACATACTGGGTAGATTTCCAGACAGTGGCTGTGATGATCGCCCCACCGCTGGGGCAGCATGCACCTCACAGTAATAGCAGTTAGAAAAAAAGAAGCTGTGATATGATTCCACTAGAGTTCAAGGAGTAATTTCCCCCTGGAGTGGTGGAGTTAGTATTTTGGGGAACTAACACTCACACAGGTCATGGGGGTGGGAGGGGGTGTGTGCTGAGTAGACACAGAAGCTTCTGGAAAGCAGTGTAGTGAGTGAGTGTCTGGCTCAGAGCTGAGCTTCAGCTTCCTCCGGCCCAGCTCATGGCCTTGACTTCTCAAGTCTGAGAAGTCCCACCTCTGAGCTCACCTTGCTTTTACATGGTCCTCGGGGAGGGGCGAGATGGCTGGTGACTGAAAGCCAGAGAGAGGAGGCTTCTCCTAGGGGTCTCACTCACCTGCCCCAGGCCACCTGCCTGGTCCCCACCCCCACTCCCTTCCTAGTTGGTGATCCCTCAATCATGGGGTGCCAGGCAGGTGGCTTACCCTGTAAACAACATACACACCAGGGTATGTGCACCAAACTTTGAAGCCATTCTGCTTTTATGTGAATAATTACTTTGAAAGTCATTTTGTTAATTTTTATGTTTCAGTTCTTTTTATGTTAATGCATTCACATACTTAAAAAAATTCCTCCATGTCAAGTTCTAAATGTGGAGTTCTGTTTATAAAGCATGGGCTGTTGTAAATAAGACTATGGTGCCTTGGGCATTACCAGGACCAGGCAGGCCAGTGGGTGGGTGCACAGAGGACCTTGAGGGTATTTCCTGTGGACCCTCTGCCATCTGTCCATAAGAAAAACCTGCATAGGAGGCAGGTCTGCTAGTTCCGAGCAGGACTGAATCTGGGCAGAAGGCTTACTTTCTGCCAGATGAGGCCAAGAACCCAGTTAACACTGAGAACTCCATTTGCTCAGCAGTACATACTGACTGGGCACTGAAGTCACAATGGGTAGCCTGAGTCCCCGTAGCATTCAGAAGCCTCCCTTCTTTACCCTGTGACCTCCCCCAGGTCCTTGAAAGGTCTCTGGAAGCTGGGCTTTCCCCTCTGCCCCAGGCATTGATGAGGAAGCAAGAACCCAAGTAACCCCACAGCAGATACTCAGTGCTAGAATACCCAGGGGCCAGCTGTACCTCCAAAGAGGAACTTGTTATAATGAGTCCATGCTTAGCATGCAAAAGAGTATGGGCACTTCCTCTTCCTGGCCCTCTGAGGCTGATGGGAAAAATGTCAGATCCAGTTGCAGGTCAGCTCCTCTCAAAGCAGAATCCAGGAGAGAGGAGAAGGAGTCTGTGAGAGGAGGGGCTTCTGAAGGCTGCCACAGGCTCATACCTGTAGGTCATGGGCAGCCCAAGGGGCTGTGCCTTCTGCAGGAACCTGTCTTAAAACACATTTGAAGTATATGAAAATGTCGTTTTGATTTACCAACCTCTTAGAGATGTTAGGAGGGCCAGCAAAAATGCTTTAAAAGTCATTTTAGGGTCACTGGGAAAAACTGCTGTGACCTCTGGTTTTGATTTCAGTTACTGGCATCTAAAGCAATTGTAAACGATCCTTCTTTGTACAGGGGGTGACACCCCTGGGGACCTGTGACAGTAGACAGTCCTAAGACTTTATCTTGGGATGCTGACATCTGTAATCCCCCAAGAATTTCTTTCTCTTCCTTTTTTTTTCCCTTTTATGCAAAGAATAATAAGTCTAGTATCTGTAGGAGGAATCATGTCAAGGGCTAAGTGAGAGGCCATGAAAGAATGTAATTCTAGTCTGTCCTCTAATGTTCTAGAAATGCAGTTTAATTTGATATGTAACTTTCCAGTAATTATTTATATTCTCTTTTAGTGATAAGTTCACCAGATTTTGTCAGTGGAAAAATGTAGAATTAAATATTCACGTGAGTACCACCTTTTTCTCTCTTTTTTTTGACTAAACCTGTCCTTTGCCTTAGTGGCATGAGAAAATACTTAATTCTCCCCAAGGGTGCGCAGCACAATTAGATGTGTTCTGGGGCTTTGTGGTTTGAAAGCCTGGGCTCCTGGGTGAAGAGATAAGCAGTCACTCTTAACATTTTTGTTCATATTTGAATAAAAATGTGATTATTTATGTAAGAATGGCTACTTCAAGCCAGACTTGACTGACCCTGTAACAAAAATAGTAGTGAAAATGCAGGTCTTCTACTTGGTGTCCTGTGCATGTCCATGCAGCCTTGGCTTTTGTTGGCTTGTGTCATTTCCTTTCTTTGTCTTTTTATTGCATATGATGGTGAAACTGGTAGTGTCTCTTGCCAGGAAAAAGCTTCATTTATTTTCTTATTGAGATGGACAGAAGTAGGAGTTGGATATTTGGTTCAATGGTAAACACTTGCCTAGAAAGTGCAAGGTCCTGGGTTCAATCCCCAGCACTGGATGGGGAGGCACATATCTCTCTGTCTCTGTCTCTGTCTCTCTCTCACACGCATACACACACACACACACACACACACACACACACACACACACACGCACACACACCCTCAAATATCATGAAATGATCAAAGAGGTCCTCAGATGCAGACTGCCCTGCCCTGCCACGGGTTTCCTTGGTGACCTTGGTGACTCACCTTCCTCCAGGCATCTGTGTCAAGTCATCCTGGGCCTGGTCTTTCTGTGGAGTTTGAGGCACACAGTTCTACCTGAACCTCTCCACCCCCAACACTCTCCTTCCTGGCCTGGTCTTTCTGTGGAGTTTGAGGCATACCCTGAGCCTCTCCACCTCCTCACACACTCCTTCCACATAGGGTTTTGGTTGGACAAAAATGTCAATTGTATATTTTAAAATATTTTATTTATTACTTTCAGTTTATGTGTATGAGTATATTGCCTGCATGTATATAAGTGCACCTGTGTCATGCAGTGCCCACAGAGGTCAGAAGAAGGTGTTGGATGCTCTGGAACTGGAGTTACAGCTGGTTGTTAGCTACCACATGGGTGCTGGGAATCGAACCTGAGTCCTCTGTGAAAGCAGCCTCTTAAGCCTAGAGTCATCTCTCCAGTCTCAATTGTATGTTTTTTAAAAAGGATTTGTAGCCAGGCGTGGTGGTGCATGCCTTTAATCCCAGCACTCGGGAGGCAGAGGCAGAGGCAGGCCAGTCTGGTCTACATAGTGAGTTCCAGGACAGCTGTGGCTACAGGGAGGCCCTGTCTCAAAAAGACCAAAAAAAAAAAAAGGATTTGTTCTTGAAGTGGTACTGGTGGAAGAAGGGTCTGTTGGTTTGTTTTAACATGCTCCTTGCATAGTATTTCCTTGAAAATAGTATTTCCTTAAAAGCAAAATGTCATAAGACACATTAAAAACAAATCTCAAGGGGCTGGAGAGCTGGTTCAGCAATTAAGAGTACTGACTGCTCTTGCAGAGGACCCGGGTTCGCTTCCCACCATCTACATGGTGACTAACAACCATCCATAACTCCAGTTCCAGAGAATTTGATGCCCTCTTCTGACCTCCACTGCCACTGCACAACACAGATGCACTTACATACATGCAGTCAATACACTTATACACATAAAATGATAATAATAAATAAAATATTAAGAAAAAATATCAAATAATAGCCAGCCTGGTGCAGACCTGCCATCCAGTTACTTGGGAAGCTGAATCAGGAGGTTCTCAAGTTCAAGGCTTGCATGGCCTAATGAATGAGTTCAGAGGTCTGGGAAGATGGCTCAGCAAGTAAAAGTGCTTGCTGCTCTAGCATGAGGACCCCATGTAGAGATATGGGCACAACTGTGCACACCTGCAATCCTAGCACTAGGACGACTGAAACGAGAGGATTCCTGGGACGTCTTGGCTCCAACCCTGCTCCAGATTGAGTGAGAGACCCTGACTCAAGAGAATAAGGGGAGAGCAATAGAGCAGGGCACCCAAGGTCTTCTGGCCTCCACGTGCACACAGGTGAAGGTCCCCCATACACATAATAAATGAATAAAAAAAATAAGTAAATAAAAATAAATAAGTGATAGTTAAGAGGGAGTTCAAGGCCATCCTGGGCAACGTAGTAAGACCTGCCTGAAAATAAACATAAATAGAAGGGGGGCCGTGGCTAGCGTGTGGCAGTGCTGGATTCCATCCTCAGCACTGCCAGGGGATGAAAAGAGAAGCTCCTATGATCATCAACCAGAGATCTTTCTGGAGTTTCTGCTCCTGCTGCAGAACTCACTTCCTCCTGAACTCTGAGGATCAACTGTAAAGTCTGCAGACCCCATGTTTGCTAATGGGACACAGTCATGATTCCTTAGGGACTGAGGCAGAGGGTCTTAGAGAATCCCATCCTGAACTTGCCAGAATACATACGGCAGATGTTTGCTGTTCTCTCAGGTCCCCTCACCCCCAGTGTGGACTCCTGTCTGCTCTTGACCACTGTTCAAAGTTGCTTCTCATTTTGACGAGTAATTCTGCACCCCCTTGGCCCCAAGTGATGCCTTGCATAGCCCAAGGTTTCTAAGAATGGAGGGACAGTCCCCCCTCCCATACCACTGCCCAGCACCTGTCTTCAGGTCATGCCTGGCATGCTGGGGTAGGGGGCACAGATCAGTGGAGGAGGTGGGTCACAGCTGTACCACCCTGCACACTGCACGTCTCATCTTTCATCGAGGGAATCAGCCATGCCAGACTTACTGTCTAGATTCTGCATGCAAAAACATTAAAAGTTTGTACCAAGATGATTTTATGTAATTTTGTGTTTTCATTTTGCTCTTTGATTCTGCAGCTGAGCATGAATGACTTCAGTGTACATAGGATTATTGGCAGAGGAGGGTTTGGGGAAGTGTACGGCTGTAGGAAAGCAGACACTGGAAAAATGTAAGTCTTCTGTCTATTTTATGGCAGCTATTAAGAGCATTTTACAGAAGTCTAGATCTTGCTCTTGAAGTGATTTCCCATAGAAAGAAATAGACTGTGTCTCCCTAAACACAAGGAACCAGGACAGTGATCCTGGCCTGTCCCCTTTGAGGGCTGTTGGGGACTTGAACAGGAACCATATATAGAATGCTCCCTTCCAGGAGCCCATCCTAGAATGGACACCTGCCGCCTGGGAGCCTGTGTTGGGCAGGGGCCTGTGGCATCCTCCCCACTGAAGCCCTGTAGGACCCCAGCTCCGCCTACTCTCAGGGTCTGGGCATGCTGTCTGCTCCGTGTGCAGCTGGAATGCTTTATGAAAGCTGTCCGGGTCAAGGACAGTAACAGGAGCAGTATGTGAAGCATCTAGAAAATTCCTCATCAGGAAAGCAAAATATGTAAAGGAGTTGTCTGTCATTCCATAAGCTCTGTGTTTCATTAAACACATTGAGGCCTCATGAATTGGTTCATTGGAAGGGCTCCTAGGAAAATGGAGAAAATACCAAATTTGAACATTTATCTCTTTTTCTCTACATGATGTGTCCACAAACAAGACATAAGTGGGTTTTCTGTCCCAGACTCTGAAACCACTTCCACCTGGTTTTTTTTTTTTTGAGGTGAATCATCGGCTGGGAGCTGAGAGTCACACACACAGAATTTCCAGTCCCTCAAACCTTTGTAATAAGACAAAAATTCTCCTTTAGATTTCTGTTCTGCTGAGAAAGGGTCCTGTTTTCTTTCATCTGCGATTTATTGAATAAGCCACAATATTTGCCTGTGTTCTCTTAAAAATTCTTGAATTTTTTTTTTTTTTTTTTTTTTTTTTTTTTTTTTTTTTTAAAAAAAAAAAAAAAAAAAAAAAGATGTCATTCATCATTCTTTTCCTTCAAGCCATCTTTGAGCCATAGATAGCTTTGTTTCTTTGCCCAGCCCAGCTTGGTCTGGCTTAGCCTACTCATATTTATTTCACTCTGCCTCCCGAGTGCTGGGATTAATTGTCAATTATTTCCTCAGTTAACTTAAACCACCAACAGATCTGAAAAAAATCTTTGTATTACTTGAAGTATCACAATAAACCACATATAAAGTTAGAAGAACTCAATTAGAGTCTTACGCTCTGTGTACACTTATCAAAACTTGAGAGCTGATGAACTCACAGTGCTAAATCTGATGCACGTATCCCCCATCCCCTTGGGTAGTGCTTGGCAGGAACATCAAGTATTTATTTCGTTAATATGTTTACATCTCTCTACTTCGTACTCTACTTCCCTGAGACCTCTACCCATGGTAAGGAGAGACATGTCTCCCTTCCTGCTCAACTGCTTTCTCCTTATAGTACTAGCAAAATGGAGGTTTCTTGCAAGGCCCTGGGGCGCCATCTTGCTTCTTTTAACCTTGTCCATATAGCCCGGAAGTTTTTGCAATGTTTTGTATTCCGCTTAAATTCAGATCCATTGGAGGCTTAGATTATACCCTCATCTTTTGGTTCCTAGGTATGCCATGAAGTGCTTAGATAAGAAGAGGATCAAGTTGAAACAGGGAGAGACACTGGCCTTGAATGAAAGGATCATGCTGTCCCTCGTCAGCACCGGCGTGAGTAACCAAGTCCCTGAGCTGCTTCTGGGACCGGCTGATCTCAGAGCAGGTTGAGTATGGGTGGATAAGGATGTGGCCGGGGGCAGGCTGACACTGGGTGGGCAGCATGTGACACTGCCTCTCTCTCAGGGCTGGAGGGTTGGGACAGTGCAGCTCCTTCATCCTACATACCTACCACTTCCTCCAGGGCGTGTTCCACTTCTCCTGGCTTACTTCTTTGCAGAGTACAGTAGCCACATGGCAAAAAGTAACAATGAAAATAAGGAAGAAACCTCACTTGGATATAGTAAAAATAAAGTGACCTACATGGTACAAAACTAATCCCAAGAGGAGGAGGGGCCACTCGGAACCAGTCAGAGGGGAACCCTCTACATTGAGAATTATCCTTTAGGGCTGGGCCTTGTCAGCATTTGCTTCTAGGGTGACTGTCTGCCCCTCATACTGCCGTGGACTGAGCGCCTCCATTCCCAGACATTTCCTTTGTGTCCAGCTCTTACCGAGTGGAATCTGCTTCACAAAGCAGCCCCCATCCTCACTTCTTTGAAAATGGCGTTGTTCACCATCAAAGCCTTGGCTTTGGAGTTGGAGCTGAGGCTGGGGCAGAGTGTTTGATGGACATACGTGAGTGGGTTCGATCCCTGCATCACAAAAACCCCAGTGGGATTTATTAATTTATTATTTATTTATTTATTTATTTATTGAAGCCTCTGCTTAAAAAGGCTCAACCAGGACAGTCTCCCTTATCAAAACCCGTGCAGGCACATGGACACCCGAGGGCTGTGAGCCAGTTCTCAGAGCAAGGCTCTGGACGGAGTCTCACTGAGCAGCAAACATTCACGTCTGACACGTTAACTTTCCAGGCCATGCGTGGAGGCCTTCTGACTGTCACCTCTGGGATCCATGCACATTTCTTTCTTGCCTAAAGATTTGAAAACATCAAACCTTAATGACTAAATCAAAGAGTCCTGTTCAACTAGTAAGAGGGGAAGGGAGACCCAGAGAGGGTCAGTCCCCGCTTGTCCCTGGGCATCCTGACCCACAGGCACCTTCCATATCATCTCTTTGAAGACAAAGTAGTGGTTTTCCATCACCTCCCTTTATTGGCTCATGGGTGATACTTATTCTAGCATTTAAGTGCTTTTAGAAGGGCTATGTGCTACTGAAGCAAAGTAATTATATAATTTAGCTGACCTGTAACAAATGAAAATCGGGGCTTTCAATTTCTCATTAATGTGCTTCTGTCTTCCAACGTGTGGACATTAAGTCTTCACCGAGGGCAGTGTGTGTGCATACCCAGGTTCACACCAGGTGAGAACTGAGTGGCCTGTGTGCTGTGCTGGAGACGGAATACTGGATTCCTGTTTCTTTTGCTGCTGTCTGTGTATTCAATTTAATACATATACACACTCACAAAGAATTATAAAGTTATTAAAATATTAATTTTTAGTGAGTGATTTCGAAGCCCCATTTCTTTTCAAGAAAGTCTGTGGGAAAAAAGGTTTTGATGCAAGAAAGACGAACAGTTTCCATGTCTCAGTTTACTGATTCCTTTTTTCTGACGGGGAATGTGGGTGAGAAGTTTACGATACCTCGCTGGTCTGTTCTTAAGGGGATAAGTTCAAAAAAGTTTATACTGGGCCCTGACTTTGAACTAATTTAAGAGAATTAATTGTGTTTGTATTCAGATCTTAAATTCTAGGCTAGTTTTTGCTAATGTCTGTAAGTGATTCAACTTGCAGAGGTGCAGTAAAAGTTCCCAGGGGTTGTCTTAGCTTATCACAGGCCACTTTCTGCAGGTTCTCCAAAGAGCTTGGGGTAAACTCCCTCCCCTGCCCTGCTGTAGGGCAGCCCTGTCAGCAGGTTTCCTGGAGCAGGGGGTACTGAACCTCTACAGTAATGAACTGAAATTTTCTTCTGTTTGGGTTTTGCCCCCAATCTTAGGCTGGAAGGCCCTCATTCCTGGGCCCCCTCATGAAAGAGAGGGAATTCCTGAGCCTGTTTTCTTTGGAGTGTTGGCATGGTAGAAAGGGAGCAGTTTAATTGACAGCCAGGAATGGTGTGTCTGCAGCTGGAAGGGACACACTACAAGTTCACACAAGTGTTACTCTCTTCTCCCAGCCCTACAGTAAGGTGTCTGCACGGGCCACTGTTGCACTCTGGGACCCTAAACCTTGGCTGAATCTTCTGCTCTTATGGAGCTGACCCAAAGGGGAAGGTGACACTTTTCAGATAGCTGGGAAGAAGTGACAAGAGCTCTGACAGACAGCCCCCTGCACTGTGGAGGCCTTTCGAGGCTGGAGACTGTCAGCTATGGCACCCCTAACTTCACAGACAGCCAGGAGGAAGGGCAGCAGCCTTTATCTGGGTCCCCAGCCAAAGTGCTGAGGAATTCCGAAGAGGCAGCACAGCCAAGATGGAAGGATGAGGCAGAGGGAGCCCAAGAGACACGAGCAGGCCAGACCAGACTGTAGAAAGCATTCTAGACCAGCATCCTGTGTGGAGATCTGAGAGCAGGTGTGGCTGAGTGGGTCCCTCTGAGCATCACCATGCAGAAGGATCACTCCGCCTGCTGTCGGGAGGGTCTCTGCAAGGCCGTGCCTGGTGCTGCCTCATGGCTTTCAGGGTTCCCTGCAGTGCCCACGGCCTGCCCACTGTTGGAAGCAAGTGGAGAAAAGCCTGCTGTAGCAGCTTGAGGTGAAGTGCTGCACCGACAGCCATGAGCTCAGACTGCCACAGACTGTAGCCCAGGCAGGCCTGCCACCACCTCTGCTAAGCCACTGTCCACAGCGTCGTGTCGATCAGCATTGTGTTCTGGTGTCTGCCTGGCTCCTGGGGCACTGAGGCTGGCAGGTGGCGGCTTTTGCAGTGGTACCCAGCCTCCCTCCTTTATCTCTAGTCTATTTCACACTGTGTCAGTGATAGAAGCCATGGACTTTAGCCAAAGAATTGAAAACAGGCTTTATCTGAAATGGCCCAGGGGGAACTGCTGAGCTCCAGTCCAATGTGTGCAAAGGGCTTGGGTGTTTCCTAGGGAAGTTGGGGAGAGACAGGTATTTGCACAATCTCACCAGTTTGTCCAGGCCAAGTGAGGCTATCTGGGTTTGCTGTCAGGCTCTGACCCTCCCATAGAGGCTGGGGCAGGCCTCAGGCTTTAGGTATGTCCAGACCAGGTGAACAGTAAATGCTTTGTACAGTCTTGAGTTTTCCCAGGTCTGAACATTAAGGCCGGCAGAGGTCATCATGAGGAGGCGGTCCCAGACTGTGAGAAACAGACCTTGCCCAGTCCTCTCTGCCTAAAGAATTTGAAAGAATCCAATCTGAATGGCTTGGTCAAGTCTTGAGGGTCACAGTTGAGGGTGATGACAAGAGGGTGCAGAGCTACCTAGCTGGAGCTGAGTCAAGGGGTGGCTGGGCCTGGCACTGGGGAACCTGCCTGTATACAAGGAGTTGAGTCTGAGGCGAACCCCAGGGACCCGCAGGCCAGCAGTTCCCCTTTTTTAACAGGTTTGAATTAAGGAAGTGGGACCTGGTATTTCATTTTAAAGAACCTATGATTTATTTTTGTTGTTTTTGAGATAGGGTCTCCCTTTAGCCCTAGTTGGCCTGGAATCTCTATGTTGACTAGGCTAGCCTAGATCTCACAGAGATTTGCTAACCTCTACCTCCTGAGTGCTGGGATTAAAGGCACATGCCACCATGCCTGGATTGAACCTATGATTCTTAATCTATAATTCCTGTCCTTTCCCTTTGAGGGAAATACTGGCCTTTGGCTGTTTTCTCAGGGCTGTGATTTAGAAGAACCATGAGTCACTGAGTTCAGAAATCCCCCCTGTGAGATCCACTTGTCTCTTGGTACTATGAATGCAGTTCCCTCCTCCAGCCAGGGAAGATCCTGGTCATGCTAAGGTCCAGGTCCACCTGCTTCTCTGTCCCACAGGCCGGAGCTACCCATCAGATCCAGATCCAGAGTGCAGAGAGACGTGGAGCAGGACCAAATGGCTGGCCCCAGCTCAAGGGAGAGACCTTGAGGAACATGGGGCCCAGAGAGCCACTAGGCTCATAACACTGTGTTTCATGTACTTGAGGCAAAGTAAATGGTAGAGTCAGTAGATGCCTCTCAGAGCAGGACACTGAGGAACACGGGGGCAGAAGGCGAAGTTGTAATTCATTCTGACCTAACTTTCTCTAGATTTATGGAACTAGAGTTCAAGTTCACAGATCTTTAGTGCACATAACATATCAATTCAAAATGGTCTATACACCCTTAACATATAGGCTTTTAATTATTTGTTGCATTTTGTGTGTGTTCATGTATGTGCAGGTGAGAGAGAGAGAGAGAGAGAGAGAGAGAGAGAGAGAGAGAGAGAGAGAGGTCAACCTCAGATATTCCTTCTCAGGAGCTCTCCCACATTTTGTTTTAAGACAGGGTCTCTCAGTGGTCTGGGACTCAACCAATTAGGCTAGGCTGACTGGCCAGTGGGCCCCAGGGATCTACCTGGGGTAGGTCTCCACCTGCAGTGATGGGAGTTCAAGCATGTACTAACATGCCTGGCTTTAAAAAAAAGACTTATTTTTATTTTTATTTTTATTTGTGTGTGTGTGTTTATTTTTATTTTTATTTTTATTTGTGTGTGTGTGTGTATTTGCACATGCCAAAATCTAAAGCAACCTCTTTCCAAAGAGAAGCATGTGCATGCATGTTTGTGTGCCACATATTTCAGGTAACCTCTAAAGCCAGAAGAGGGCATGGAGACTTCTAGAACTGGAGTTTGAAGCAGTTATGGGCCACCCAACAAGGGTACTGGGACCTGAACGCAGGTCCTCTGGAAGAGCAGCAAGTGTTTTAAACTGTTGAACCACCTCCTCATCCCCCACGCCTGGCTTTTTAATGTGGGCTTTAAAATCAAACTCAGGTCCTCATGCTTGCATAGTTAACACCTTACAGACTGAGCTGTCTCCCCAGCAACCTAGATTTTTCTTTCCAATTTTTAATTTTT